TAGGCGACATTTAATATTTGATAATTAAAAATATATTGTAATAATTCAACGCAACAAATTATTTTGATAATTGAATAATTATAATTTTTTTTTTTTTATTACATTTTTTTCCTACATATTTGGATGGTTTTAGCACATATTTTATAAATTATACTTACATACATATGTACATATTTCTGTATTTTTATTACATATAAATTCATTCCCTACTTATAAATTACAGGTCTTATTGTTGTAGTGGTCGGAGTGTATATTATGATTTTTATAGTCGAACCGAACTCATATATCGTTAGCGTTTTTATAATCTAACCTAATTAGTGGTTTATCTTTATCGTAAATATTATTTGGGACCCGATTTGGATACGCCCATCGTAATGACAGTGCGTGCCGCGGTCTGGTGATCGATGATAAACATAAAAGCGCGAACGGCGACAGACGTAAAATAAATAAACGTTACCCTTAAAACGGGTCCGCGCCACCGCCGCCCCATATGATCTATTACGCAAGCTCGCTGTTCGAGGATTTAAATGAATTTCGTCTCTCTCCTCCACTGCAAGGGAATGTTTAAATACCGTTTTCCACAACCTACGGACCCGATCCAGTGACGAGAATCAACGCCCCGAAACCCCACCCGTTGCCGGCACGTGGTTTCGTTAGATAACCGATTTTGGACGATGGCATAATCGAATGACCTATCGCACGTGATTTTGTGATAAAAGAACGTTCCAATCGTTTATGACTTGTAAAAATTGCATATGTACCGAATAGCGTTTGAATAGAGCAAAAATATATCTGCTGAAGAAATCTGTTTAGTGTTGATCTTGAGGCGTCTGCGTATTGTAGTCACGCGAGTTTTAGAATGTGCGGTCACGGTAAAACGTCAATCAGAGAATCACGTTATCAATTGTCGAATAATAAAAACGATTTATCGCAAAATCGTACAATATTACACGAATTTTGTGGCTGTTATTGACAATCAACCGGACTCAAATGGTATATGCGTTTAACGTATTTTTTCATCCATATGTAAATTTTGCGTTGCATTCGGAAAACATAATTGTTCTTCATCTCCCACGTGGTATACACATCAATGGTGTTTAAGAATGCGAGTGCAATAAATTGTTTGTATTCGAAAAGAAAAACCGTTAACAAATTTTAATATTCGTATATTTATTTTGTAATTTTATTTTCAAAATAATGCTAGAGCACAGTTTTGTCCAAAACCGTGTGCACTTGATAATTTGGATTCATCGACTACGTATTCGACTACGGAACAAGTGAGAAATATCTAACCAAGCAATTGCTTTTGACTGCATTTATCGATATAATTTTTAGGTAAATTGAACCCCTTGCAGTGACACTATAATTTATTGAATTAAACGATTTACTGTTGCGGTCTGACGCAAATAATTACTGTCCAACACTAGACGACAAATCGTTGTCTAACACCCAAAAATTTGCATTATTCTCATCGTATAATACCTAAACCTTTTGAATTCTATGGTCTGGTTAGTGTTTTTTATTTTTGATGATACGTTAAAATGTAATTAAAAAAAAGCGATTAACCAATAACGATTGTTGGTATTATAAAAGTTTTCATTGTTTAAAAAAAAAAAAGAAACAAAGACGGATAGCTTTTTATAGTGTGAGGGAAGGGTATTATCCCCCATGAACTTTTCATGAGCAGGCCATGGTCCAGACCTTATTGTTATTTCGAATGACGATTCGTGGTTAAATCACGGTAAAACGGACTTCACGAAATACATACCAATGGCTTACTTTTCGCTGGCATAGTTATGCTTACGTATGTATAGTTTAAATTTTTCACAAATTAAATGCGATCAATTTTGCTCGAACAATAATGAAACATAATTTAATTTTATTATTATTATTATTACAAGTATTAAGCGATACGGACTTTTCTGCGATCATTCACCAGCATCGCCATTGAAAGAAAAAGTCAATGGTGGGAATTATTTTCCGTTGATTTTAACGAATGAATATATTTTATACAAAGACGGAACAATATAATTCGCTCGATATTCTCACTCAAACGCATCTGTTTCCATTCCAGTGCCGATTTTACAAGACATTCAAATAACTTAAAGTTAGCAGCAAAAAAATCGTTATTGAAATTGAAAATTGTGTGAAAATGTCCATCATAGGTACTGTGATAATTACCAATTATTGGTGACATCAACTATTGTTGATTGAAAACTAAATTTTCGTCAAAGTTAAGTTTCTGCGCAGTAAAATGTTCGTTTCGAATAGGATTCGAGTGTATTGTTTTTTATACAATTTTAAAAATGTTCGTTATTGAAAGGGTTCACCGTACTCAGAAATTTATCTGGAACGATAAACACTAATTATATAAACAAATATTACGATTTTTCCGTATAACAAACGATGACAAAAAACGTTAACTTTACACAATTTCGTATTCAATATACCTTTAAGGGTTGCATACAATCATTTATGATTGCACGCACGGGTTAGGTCAGGAAATATTTATGTGTGTGTGTATGTTTGTGACAAGTGTGTGTGTGTGTGTGTGTGTGTGTGTGTGTGTGTGTGTGTG